TACTCGAGAGGTTTAATTTTATTCCCTTTCGTGAGGAAACTTTTGCCTCATATGTAGCACAGATGCATTAAGCCCTTGTTTGAAAAAAAATGGGTTTTGTAATTGTGATTTTTTAGAGCATTTATGGTTAAAAAATAAAGAAAAGTTTTGGAATTACGTGCAAATTATTTAATTGGTGGAATATGTAATTGAAAATGAGTTTGGGAAAAATGAGTTATTGGATAATGGGGTTCATAAAGGAGCTAAAAATTTGAATTGGTAGAAGAGTTGTTGTCATCAAACCATTTCCGGAATGGTGATGTCCTGAAGTTGTAAAATTTTACAGTTACTTGAAAATATAATAAATGCAATTTTTTTCATGCTCCAACCCCATCCATAAATTAAAATAAAACTTTACCATATTCTGCGTGAACAATTAATTGCACCAAATTAACAATTATACTGGAATCTGTAAAATGCTTTATTTCATGCTCCATTAATAAGAATTAAAAAAATAGGGAGCACTGTGTCTGAAATTCAAAATAGTTATTTTATTATTTTGCCCTATTTCCACAAAATCTCACATGCCAACTACGTGCATAAAACATAAGGATTTTGGAAGGTAAAGAATATAATTCAACATAATTTTGAACGAGTAAAACTTGATCTAACGTTTAATTATTTGTTGAAAATATTAGCTTTTTGAGTATTAAATCATGGAAACGACTAAAGCATTTTACTAAATGTTGTAGAATTTCTTACTTTTTCTGCTGGTTAACTAATTGCAAAAATGAATTAGAACTTGATATATTTTTATATAATTTTATTCTGTAATGATCATATATTGTAGTCGTCATTTACGTACTATATCAAGCTTTTATTCAACCTATATTTGAACATAAATTTGTGTCGATTTATTTCTTTACATTTATGTTGATGCATCATGATGTACTAATTCATAAAAATTTTGAAAACTAATGTATTGTTATATTTATGTTGCATTATATCTGTTTTACAAGTTTTTTAGGCACCAATTTAGTATTGGGCTAGAACTTCAGGAATTCAAGGATAATTTATACTTTGCTCTACTATTTGGAATGAAGTTTACATATGGTCTCTACTATTTATCAGAAGTAGCAATCGTGTTATCATCTCTTTGCATATCTAATCTGCATTTATGTGGATGCTCTGTTACCAAAATGACTTCAACCCATCAATAAAGCATAGGATGACTCTTAATCATACATAGCAAAACAATTTATAATTGAACTCTAGAATGTTATATAACTGTTGAATCACTTATATTTCAGGTACCAAACCTTTAGAAGATCAGATTTATGCTGAGATGAGAGGACGGCTTAAAGAAGATGATATAACTGCTCCAATCCGCAGAGGACCTTACTACTATTACAATAGGACTTTGGAGGGTAAAGAATATGTCCAGCATTGTCGTCGTCTTGCTTCTAATATTGGTGCTCTGACTTCTGTATATGACACCATGCCAACTGGATCTGATGCACCCCCTGAGCATGTCATCCTGGATGAGAACATCAAAGCTCAAGAACACACATTTTACATTATTGGCGCTTTTAAAGTAAGAGCATGCCTCTTTGGCTCTTTCTTTCTTTTGAACTAGCATTTTGTAGTGTTATGTCCACTCATTTATAAGGGAGGATAGAAATCATTAATGAAAAGAAAAATGACAGAGCTATAAAGAAACAAAGCAGTTAATTGAAATTATTTTATAATGTTGAAGATGGGAAAGAAGAAATAACTTTTAGCACAATTAATATCTTGAAAGTTCAGTAAAATAAAATCTTGTTTTGTTCCAAAATTACTTGTCAAGTTGATTGTTATTAGTAGCTAGAGGGAGAATCTGATCATTGCATTTTGAGGCTGAATGCAAAATTTTATTTCTATATATATATATATATATATATATTTTAAACTCCTTTTCCCCTCCCTGCTCCCACAGAAGGAAAGAAAAAGAATAGAAGAATTAATACCACACCTCACCAGCTCATATCCCTCTGCCACCCGCCAGACCAACTCAATTGCCACCATCGTCTAAGAAATACTCCACCACCAACATATACAACAGTAAAATCAGTAACTCATCACCATACTCCCATCAAACCCATGGAAAAGAACTAATTGTTCCATAATCAGAAAAAACCCTCACATACTGTCCACCACCACCTACCATCTTCCCCATCCCATCAGAATATAATTTAAATTGTTTCTCTTCTTTTAATAATGGAGATCCAATGATTGAGGGTGTGCTATTGAATGACCATGTGGAATGTGTAGTGAAAATGTCTCTGTTTGTAAATCTGTGATTTTATATGCCTGTTGTTAATCTATGATTTTATGTGTCCGTATGGTTGGGTCACGGTTGTGGTGGAGGCTGGGTGGAAGGAGGTTGGTGGTTGTTGAGGTATTTGTTACAGGTTGGATGCAGGACCTGCCGGGTTGTAAGATATGGGAAATAGTGCTGGTTGCTGGATGCACATTTTTAATGTTCTAATTTTTTTTCACTAAATTTGTGCCGTAGAGAGTTTTCTTCGTGTGTGACTGTTTCTCTCTGTGTAACTTAATCTTTTTTCTTTTCCAGGTCAGTCCGAATAATAAATTTGTTGCATATGCTGAAGACACTAAAGGAGATGAAATTTTTACTGTTCATGTCATTGATATAGAGTCCCGAACACCAGTTGGGATGCCTCTGGTTGGAGTTACATCAGATCTAGAATGGGCAGGTGACGAGGCTTTAGTTTACACCACGAGGGATCAGATCCTCCGGCCGGACAAGGTATGGAGTATGGACTTGGTCATATTCTTGAGAAGAGTTTCCTACTTAGTGGCTCACAAAATATTCTCTCCTTTCTTCAGTCATTAGTAATTATGGTTTCAAATGTAAAATAGTATTGGATGTATCATTACTTAGTGACTAGTGCAGTTGCAAACATCAGCTTCTACTACTCAAACCAAATAAAGTAATGATCCTCTTCCAAATCCAGCTGCACTGGAAGGACCATCAGATCCATCACGACTTGTTTGTTCCTGTTGTCCTTGCTTCTATTTATTTCTTAATTTCTTATTATCTCTGTTGAATATCTAGATTCAAATTGTATTTATACATAAGATAAGAATGAGATTTATGCATTTGCAGTGTTCTTTTGGACCCAGGGGTTGGTGGGTGGGGGGTTATCAGACCATTGAGTGGTAGGCTATTGTTGCAAGCCAAACTATTCCCAAGGATTTACCTTGTTAGTTATTGTTTCCGATACTTGTCCTACATAAGGGATATTTGCCATGTCCTAAAAATTAGACAAGCAAATCTAGGAGAAGGAAAAAACTATGAACTGTCTTGTTTATAGAATAGGATTCCTGGCTTTTAGAATGTTAGTACCAAGCATACAGATACCACTTGCTTTTGATGATAGTCTTTATCATCCATTTAGGCAAAGAATGCATGCAGATAGACTTAGAGATGGTATCAGCCTGTCTACTTTTTTCCCAATCTTGCTTCTTAATTGTCCTGTTTCACGGAAACATGGGAAGTAATTCATTTAATTCCATTACACATAAAAGAAAGTAATTGGCCATTTCAATTGCTTGTTATCATCTGAACCATATTTTCATTTTTTGATTGCCTTCGGCAGGTTTGGTTACATAAGGTTGGAACAGAACAAGCATTAGATTCTTGTCTGTATCATGAAAAGGATGAAACATTCTCTCTAGATCTTGTGGCTTCTGAGAGCAAGAAGTTTCTATTTGTTGCATCTGAGAGTAAAATCACAAGATTTGTCTTTTATCTTGATGTTTTGAAGCCTGGAAATGGACTAAATGTTTTGACACCACGATTAGATGGCATTGACACATCAGCAAGTCATCGTGGGAATCATTTCTTCATTAAGAGGAGGAGTGACGAATGTTTTAATTCTGAACTACTTGCTTGCCCACTGGATAATACATCGGATACCAGAGTTATACTTCCCCACCGGCCAAGGTAACAGCATAGATAGCAACAATATTTAGTCTGATAGTTTGAAGGCATAAGCCTCGAATAGCTGTTTAAAACAATGATTTCCATATTAGGTTACTGTATCCATTTTCCCAAAACGTTAGCTTAATCTCATCCCACTAGAAATTTGGGTCCTTTCCTTGATAGTAGACTCTCAAAAATACATAGTTCTGATGCCAATCATTGAATAACCGAGCTGAATCTATTGAGAGAAACATTAGAGAGAAATCTTAATAATATTGAATCTCGTGAAGAAATGTATGAACCGCTCAACAAGAGTAGTCCTATTTATATGTAGAAATTCTGACATTGGAGAATTTGCTATAATATTGTTTAGAAAATCAAAATAACAGAAGGAAAACTTTCTTAAAACCAAAAGACTATTATTACAAGCAAACAAATAAATTTCTACTTTCTAGATTTATGCTTAAAATAAGCACATGCATCTTCCTTACCAATTACTGCAATTTTTGGATCTACGGAAATCTGATTAACCGTCATTCCATCAACAGGAAGAATGAAAGTTGTTAGAAAATAAATATTTATGTAACTGAACATGTCTAACGGAAGATTGCCATTAGCATGTTGGGTATGCTAACACCTTTGTTCTTGAGGTTCAGCGATTTTCTATATTTTGTAAATGTTTCTTCATTAATTGGTTACCGGAAAGATTGCAGTATTCTAAAGCAACTTGTACTGAGATGCAATTATATTGTACTAGAATCCATATATCTAATTAAATTGTGCACTCATAGTTGTGTTTTCAATATATGTACATTTGATAATTATCTGAGCATACAAGAATCAACAAAACCCCAAATTTGTATTCCAATGAGTTTCTTGACCACTCGATTGGTATTTATGAAGTTACTTATATGCTCGATATAATTTAATAGACCGGTTCATTTAGTGCTTGTTTGGTGGCGATTTTAAGCCAATTAAAATCAATTTTTTGACCGTTATTTTACTATTCTAGCCGTTATTTATGAATTCTTCTCTCACAAGTATGACCCACTTTATCTTTAATGGTCAAAAAATCAATTCTTAAAATTCCTACCAAACAAGCTTTTAGACTAAGATATATATGTGAAAGTTTTGTTCTTCAATGCTCTAAAAATTTTAGAAAACTGGAATATCTCTTCTTCACTCATTTATGTATATTTTAGTTCGTTGACATCTATTGAGAAATTCTGTTAGTGAGTTTGGTGTTTATCCAGTGTAAAAATCCAGGACGTACAACCTTTTAGCAATCATCTTGTTGTCTATGAGCGTGAAGATGGTCTGCCAAAAATAAACATATATCGGCTTCCAGCTATTGGAGAACCAGTTGGCAGACTTGAAGGTGGCCGGACTCTTGATTTTGTGGATCCCGTATACTCATTGGATATGTCGGAGTCAGAATTTTCTTCCAGCATTTTAAGGTTTCATTATAGCTCGATGAGGACACCTCCTTCTGTTTATGATTATGATATGAACTCTGGGGTTTTAGTTCTCAAGAAGACCAAAATGGTGAGTTAGTGCTTGTAATTATTACAAAGAGCTGTTTAAAATGGATTTGCTCAGATGTCTATGCTTGGACTCATTACATTTGGTTTCATTCATAATCACTTTCTTTAACTTATTTATGGATTTAATTTCCCATTTCCTTTGTAAATTCTCAACTCATTGACTTTTTATTGTTGTTCAATGTTTTTGATCTTCTAGTTCATAAGTCTCTGCAATTTTAGTGTGTTGTGTATATGAGGTAAAGGCAATGCTTTGAAAATCAGCCTGAATACTGAACTATTAGCCTCACCAGTTCCCTATGTCTGCCAGTTGACCAATTCGACCATTTTTCTACCAGTTGATGTCATGAGTATTATAAATTTCTTCAATAGAAGTACAAGATGCAGTTAGTGCACTTGTTGAACACAAGTTGCAGCTCATAGTTATAACTGAGAAGAATTTGATATCCATCATGAAATTGATTTGGGTGATATGTTCTAATATAAACAGGCATGAGAGTTGGAGGTTGTGCTTCATTGTAGTTTGTGATCATGATACTGGCGTAGGAAAGGATAGCATGAGCACAAAAATCTCAGAGTGAGTTATTGGTCAGTGATTCTTTGTAAAGTAGTTCAAAATAGTGTTGTGAAATTTAGTATTACACAGTGTAACCTATCGATCACAAAGCAGTTGAAAGGCATCAGGCCAGAAATAGAGAGATACCTGATGTGCTATTAGGGTCAAGCCTACTTCTACAATATGTCCATTTTCCTCGTAAGCCTTCCACTTTGCTCAGGAGATTTGTGACATGAAACTTTGTTCACTGCCATAGTTGGATAGAAACTGAGAAATTCGTCTATATTTCCCTTCCTAATTAAATTGCTGATTTTTACTTTTATTGTCTAATTGTGTTTCTATCATTTATTTAAATGTGAGAAATGTTGAATGCGTGTCATCCTTTCTGTATAACAAGTATAGCGAAGTAAATCTCCTGTTGTCGTGGAAAAGCTGAATATAATTGACTCCCTTCACTAAGTCAATCGAGATGAGATCCCATAAATCAGAATAAACATGCTCAAAAGGCTTTATTGCTTTAGAATTTGAAAGTAAATGAGGAAGTCTATGACTTTTATCTAACCAATGGGAAAAACGACACTGTAAAACATGAATCTATAGAACATTTCAAGTTACATCTGTTTAAAACTTTAGGGACTATAGAAAAGGCCGGATGTTCTACTCTATGATGCCATATATTTATTTGCTTTTAGAAACACTCTTGTTGGATCTGAAAAGCTGGTAGGAGCTGGAAAATTGAAAACTTGAGAGTTGGATGCTGAGTTGAGTTTGGAAAGTCAAGTCAAGCAGATTTCCTTCAAGAACCTTCTTGGAGATTTGATCCTTCGCAAGAAAATGAGAGGCGTGAAATTCTACGAAGGCATGATTATCAGGACTAATTTTTGTAACACTGCTAAGTTCTTTTCAAAATTTCTGGTGTATGGAAAACATATGTAAGAAGTAAGGATGTTGATTGAGCAAGAAACAGCATTGCCCATATTGGAGATGTGGCTTGTCTTACCATTGGCCACCATAAACTGATAGAAGCTTTGGAAAGGTGAGGAAGCATTCAGGATGCTGATATCTAGAGTCATAGTGTGTGTGGGCCCTAAGTCCATCAACCATTAACTATTACTCGTTGCTGCTAATGTAGGGGTCATGAAGCGTAGCATGGGGTCAGAGGCTGAGAATTTTGATTGTAATTTTTGCTTCTGAGTAGGCCTTGGTTGGAATCTTTGATGTGGTTTGGCTGAAATTGAGGGATCTGGAAATTTGGTGAAGGTTGATACTGACTGAAATGAGCTTGTTTGTGGCTGGTAGTTCATGTTGGTATGATAATAGCACATGAAGGGAATAGGTCCAAACTTGAAAATCAGGGATTTGGGTTTTGAGTTCCTTGTTGCCTTTGCAATATGCCCAAACTTATGGCAAAAAATAGTTGCCTCGTTATCTGTATTATTTGTCCAGAAAAAGTATCAAAATCGTCTGAAATGGTTGTCCAATCAATCTCTCTTTTACCTTACTTTTAATGCTTACATAATAAAGCGAAATGTCCTTTTTAACAGTTTGTTTACTGACTCAGGTTTTGGGAGGCTTTGATTCAAAAAGTTACATTACTGAAAGGCTGTGGGCTACTGCTCCAGATGGAACTCAGATACCCATATCAATTGTCTACAGAAAGGATCTTGTGAAGCTTGACGGGTCGGATCCGTTATTTCTCTATGGTTATGGTTCCTATGAGGTAATAATTGTTTTATTGTTCAAAAAAATATAATGTTAGGAGGAGGAACTTTTAGCCTTTAGAAGTAAATGTCAGAATAGTGGGAAACTATGATACTACGCGTGGACTCACATATGGTTCAGTTCTCTACCTATTTTCTTTTCATGTCATGCATCTGAATTCTTACTTGGGTCCTTTTTCTGCAGACTAAAATTAAAGTACAATAGCAATATAGTCGGGTTCAACACCCTTTTTAGTGATTATTATATTTTGTTTAAGTTTTTTTCCATATTAATTAAACCAAGTGCTATCCAATTTTAAGAAAATAAAGCCATTTTAAGAGGTGCCGTCCGCAGCCTGTGCGCCCGACTTGCTCAAAATTCTATGAGCAATTGAGTTCACCACCGAAATAAAGGAAGAAACCCTGCCAAAGCTTGGAGTGGGAGTTGAAGAGTTAGGATAACAAGAAAATGTCCTTTAGTAGCTACTATAAGGTAAGGAGGAAGGAGATACAGCTTGAGCTTGAGCGTGGAGCTTGTCTGCAGTAGTCACCTACTCTCTTTGTCAGACTTCATCTTCCTTTTATTTATTTATTTTGGATAATAATGCCATTGATGAAAGGAATATGTTCTCTTTCATTATAACTAATTGAATGCAATAAATTTAAGTGCTACAGCCACATGCGATAATCAGTCTATAGTTTGACCAGACTTCTGTTAATTTCTGCCTTGTTGTTCCATCCATGAATGAGCAAGTCTTTCTGTTGACATAAAATGAATGGTTGAAATTACATCTTTAGTTGGTTAATTTTCTAATTCTCGTATTTTGAACAGATATGTATAGATCCAAATTTTGAGGAATCAAGTTTGTCTTTGTTAGATAGGGGTTTCATTTATGCCATTGCTCATGTTCGTGGAGGTGGTGAAATGGGGAGACAGTGGTATGAAAATGGAAAACTGTTGAAGAAGAAGAATACATTCACAGATTTCATTGCTTCCGCAGAATATTTGGTAGAGAAGAATTATTGTTCAAAGGAAAAACTTTGCATTGAGGGAAGAAGTGCAGGGGGTTTGCTAGTTGGTGCTGTTCTTAACATGAGGCCTGATTTATTTAAGGCTGCTGTAGCTGGAGTTCCTTTTGTTGATGTTTTGACTACAATGCTCGATCCGACTATTCCCCTTACAACTTCAGAGTGGGAGGTCAGTTTGCCTGTCATGACATTAACTCATTATTTTACAGTGCTAAAATTTCAATTTGACTGGTTTTTCTTTTGGCCTCTCTAAGTTTTCAATGAATTGATCTTAGAAGTCGATAACTAAACTTCCACAATTTGAATCTATTTTCTCGACAACAACGATAACGTGATCTAGTCGTTTTCTAGCATCTGGTATCTTTTTAGACGAGATGCTATTATGCCCACAACTGTGATGTTTATGAATTAGTGTCGTTACGCAATTCATCAATCACTGATGGCGCTGGAAGTTTTTATTTTATTTACTTGTCTTTTGATGTTGATACAATGATACGTGACATGAATCTATGTATATGCATATTGCATGGAACTGTTCCATTCAGAGAAGTATGACATGGATTAGACTCACGATGTATTTCATGGTTTTGTCAATAAAGAGTTCCCCTTGAATAAGTTTGTCTAGAAACATTGTCTTATTTCTTTCATTGTCTTATTTAGAAATGTCCCAAGTAGCAGTAACTTATAAATGAATTCCACGTTTGCAGTGATGTTATTATCTCCTTAGCTATGACTCTTGAGGAAATTGAGTTGAGATTTAGTTGGTTTTCCCTATAGTTCTCCTTTTATGGCCATTTTCGCATCAGGATTAGATTAAAAGGAATTATTTTTGGCCCAATTTGTTTTCGCTTATTTTAATAATCGATTATTAAGCATCACAAGTTTATGGACTTTCGATTAATAACTTGATATTTTATCAGTTTTACTGTTATAACTAAACATCTCATTAAAATTTAGTAGGTGTGTAAATCATTTTTTTCCTGAATCAGTTGAGAGCCAAATGAAATGGGTTATTCATTGTAATAGTTGCATTAAAAAGGAAATATGAAATTTTTAAGCAACTTAAATTATTAGACATTGTTGGTTTTTTCACATGAAATGCAGGAACTGAGTCCAAATTCAAACCCCTTAACCAATTATTTGGCTGTGCCCTTCACTTTCTAAATGGACCTAAACAGTCCAAGTTGCAATCCCAATGACTGTTCAGTTTGAATTTACTGCTCTTGGTTTGGCTGTATGACTGCTCCACCAACTGGCTATTTAATTTCTTGTATTTATGTCCAGACTGTCCAGGCCCCTAATTTAAATTCTTATATTTATTACAGCTGCTAATTCAATGTTGGTTTATTGTTTGAAGCTATAATATGTTGCAAAAGAAGAACATTTGCTCAGGTGTTTTCCTTTGGTGCTACAGGAATGGGGTGATCCTAGGGAAGAAGAGTTTTATTTCTATATGAAGTCTTATTCTCCTGTTGATAATGTGAGTATCAAACCAGTTTTCTTTCCTATGCTCTCATACTCATTGAGGCACAGAGTAATTTTGTGGATTGTATACTGATCTGTGGCTTAATTCAACAGATTAAAGCCCAAAATTATCCAGCCATTCTTATAACAGCCGGTTTACATGGTAAGTAGAAAAGCAAATTCTTCTCATTGTATTTCTGTCAAAGGAGCCAAAAGAATCAGGGGAAAGAGTTATTCAATTTTCTTAATCATGTTTGCAATGCTTCGATTATATGAATGTCAGTTAGTCACATTTGGACAAACTATCAGAGATTATTCTTCAGTGTAGAAATATACGAGATTTTGTTAAAGATAGGGGCTTTGGACTGCTTTTTCATTACATTTTGTAAAATCATCTTGAAGTTTTGTTTTTGTGTTTACCTTGCCTCTATCATATGAATGTCTTGCGGGTGCACATTCTGACTATGTACCAGAAATTCTGATGGGTGATAAACACGATATTTTGTTCAAAATTGGTGCTCTAAGTGCCCTAGGATGATATGAATGATTTTCTTTTCTTGTACAAGTTGACGATTCCTGTTTTTGCACATTATTTTAGGCAGAATCAGATAGGTTAATTCTGAAGTTGTTTGCCATTTAGCTCCTATTTGTTTCCCATTCTTTTCCCGTTAAAATGAAAAATATGACCGCTATCCATCACATCAAGCCACCGAATTTGAATTTCTATCTCTTGTGTGGGGTCCATAACGGCTATATTTTTCATTCTCATTTTTTACAAAAATGGGAAACAAACACCTCTTAGTGACTGCCATTGCCTGCTTATTTTGTAAGTCTTAACTCTTCCATATATTCCATGTTAGATTAGTCTTCTGCACCAGAAAAATGTTTAATGGACTTTCTGTTCAGATATTATATCAAATGGAGTGCAAATTTAATACTAGTTTTCCATGTCAGATACGCGGGTTATGTATTCAGAACCTGCCAAGTTTGTGGCAAAGTTGAGGGATGTGAAAACTGATGACAATGTTCTCCTGTTTAAATGTGAACTTGGCGCTGGACATTTTTCAAAGTCAGGAAGGTGATTTTCTCTGATTTTTTTGTTTGTTTGTGAGTTATTATGCATCAGATCCTCCATCAATATCCAGATTATTTGTTAGATTCTTGGACTGACTGCAGTGGAACCTAAACCCCCTATGTACGTGTGAGATACATTATTAACTCCAATCCCACTAGGAAATGATTGCATAAAATGGCATTCAGTATAGACTATAAAACTTGTGCTTGGAAAGGGAGACTTAAAAGACTGGAATGCATCTTGGATGAACGTAAAGAAGCTCCTCCCGCACATAACAGTGATGCAACCAGAGAAAGACATGTTAGTACTATACCAAAATTAACTTGGTCTGATGTGATTGCAAAGATTTGATTTCATAAGATCTTTCAGTAGATGCAGCTACATATCCAACAAAATAGCGAAAAGAATTCATAAAGTGGACCTCGAATTTATGGAATAAGGCTTAGTTTGTTTATATTAAGTGCCTTGTGCATGAAATTGGTGAAGTTTGCTCTTCGTTATTTTTTAACTTTTTAATTTTTTGGTTTTCTGGGTTGCGGTGTGGGACGCATTTTACTGTACTAGTTCCAGGGAAAATAGGTTGTTCAAGTTTTGGTTGTAAGTTGTAACAGGCTTCTAACAAGTAGTGAGTATCTTGAAATAAATGGTGAGTTAAAGTATGGTAAATCAATATGATTGACGTCCATGCAGCTTTTGCAAGGTAAATCTCAGTATACTACATATTTGAATTTAAATTTAGTTCCAAGTAATTGGCCTTGTTATGCTGCATCAAGTTCATAGAAAATTCTTCCTATATTTCATCTGACACTTGTGTTTCAATAGTCTTGCTATCTTTTCCTCCTTTTTTGGTACTACTGTTGCTCTGATCTTGTAGACTTCACACTTTAACAATCCGTATAGGGTATTTCAAATTGCTGTCTGTATGTCGTCGAAGTTACCATGAAAAGGATCATTAGTATCCTTCTTCCAAACACATTTCCTATCTGCAGACTGCAGCATTGTTGTATGGGATGTCCCCGCCCCAAGTAATAAATTAAGCCCCAGTTTGGTGTAGATTAAAGTCAGATTTTTAGTAGATTTTGATGAAATGTTTGATTGAAAAGTTGTGGGTTTTGTGAAATATGGTTAAAATTATTGGTGATTTTGATCTGTGATTTTAATGTAGACTGAATAGGGACAAATTGATTGAATGAAGTTATTACAATTGTTGTCAGGGAGATGTTCAATGTTTAGTTCTTTTTTTGGGGGGTTCGGGATGATTTCTCAAAGTATACAATTTATGTTTGTGTTATAAAACTTGTATTCCATAATTCTTTAATGTGTATAGGAACAAATTATTGAATGTTTTTATTTTTATTTTTATTTTTTGTAAAATTGGCCCGTGAATATCAAATTGATCATTGAATCATTTGATCAAAAAGCTTGAACTATTAAGATCAGAATACATATAGATCATTTAAATCTTGTCTTTCAACATGCCCCCTCATGTGGAGGGGGGGTTCATTTTTTTCCAATAAAACCTGACACGTGCACAATTTTATTAAATGGGTGGTGGCGAGACTTATATGACCTTTGTCTATTGTCATGTCAAATTATTTGCTCTAGAAGCTTAATTTGTTAGAGAAAGGCTATACACATATATGTTAATTCATGTCTTTCAACACCAATATGTTTGTCTGCCAGGCCAAGCAAATCAGATGTTTGTAAGATATTCTGGTTTGTATTCCATTTTTTTTCCCCTCTATTACTATTTTGAGTTTTGACCTTATGCTTTTATGTGGTCTCTGGAGATCAAAGTCAGTATCAGGAAAAATTGAACAAAAGAATGTGATTTGTCCTAATTCGAGTTCCAAGATGTAAAACTACGAAAAAAGCTAGCTGAATCTAGAAATGTTGAATCAAATTCTTTCGCTATAGCTTCGAAACAGAAATTTTTAAGTAAAGAGAATGGATAAATGTTACTGACCTTGGTGTCTACTAACCAAATTCTGGCTCATGCTTCGTTTGGTGACGAGAAACAATGTTTTGCTTCTTTGATGCAGGTTTGAAAGGCTCCAGGAACACGCCTTGAAATATGCTTTTATCTTGAAGACGTTAAATATGGTCTGAAAGGCAGGCGGGCAGGCATTTGGTGGCGAGAAACCAATGTTTTTGCTTTTAAGATGCAGTTTTAAAAGTCTCCAGGAAGACACAGACTTAAATATGGTTTGAAAGGCAGGCAGTCTCCAGGAAGTTGCCTTCAGATAAGTGTTAATTTCAGGACATGATCCTAAATCTTTCATTTTACATAGATTTTATGAAATGGGGAAATATCTGAATTTTACCTTTTGATTGTATAGGCCGTGGTTGATTCATGCCTCCAAAGAATCTCTCTTCAATTAGTGTTTTTCTTATATATATAAACTTCTATGGTTTCGAAAAATCAATTGGAATTCATCGATTTCCCATGTCAATTTACGTGCTTATAGAAATTATATCTTCGAAACTCATTGGGAGAGGCAATGCATCAGAAATCATAAAAAAATTATACTAATCTTCGAATGCCCCCGAAAATTCTGAGGTGTGGATATGAACTATATAGATATACGTTATGCCTTGAAATAAAGACAATTCTAAGCTCTTGTTTGGTTAAGATAAAAGTAGATTTTTAGTGAATTTTAATAAAAGTTGATGAAATATGAAGTTGAAATATTGCGTCTTTGGAAATGTGATGTAGTACACAATTACAATTAGTAATTTCCTACTACAATTTTGAAATGTAGTTGCGTTTTTCTTTAAATTATGTTTATCTTTTCTAGTTGAAATAGGTTTTTATCGTCTATTTGATTAGGATTTTAGTTTATTACTTTTAAGAATTTAGAGTGTGTTTGATTGACATGGAAAATGTCACCTAGAAAAGAAAATATTTTCCATTTTTTGTGGAAAATAAAAACTACCTCTACCCAAGGAAAATATTTTCCTTAAAAACAAGGAAAATTAGGTATATTTTCAAAAGTTGAAAAATATTTTCTATGGAAAAAAAATAGCAATCAAACACTCAAAGTAGAAATTTGGGTGGAAAATTGATATTTTTCATGGAAAATAAATGTAATCAAAGTAGGATTGAAGAATAATTTTGCCTATAAATACAAAGGCATTGTATACTTTTTCAACACAATCAATCACAAATCAATACAAAGCAAGATTATTCCAATATCATTCTTAATTTTTATTCTTATCACAATAATTCATCTATGTTTTCGCTCCAAAATGTATGGTTAAAATTCATTGTTAATTTAGATTTAGATTTTAATCTGTTTTTAGTTGGGATTATTAAATTCATGACCAGTCTATTAAATATGGCATGGTACATCGATTCTTTTCTAACGTCATTTCTATTTATTCAATTAAATCAATTAGAAGTTGTTGCATCCTTCTATTCTCATTGAGACACGAAAAGTCGGAAGGAGGGATTGGGATGAAATCGACTCTCACTTCTTGCACAATAATTGGCTGAGAGGGCTCGTCTTTTCAGTCTTCTTCCTTTGACCTCAATAAGAGTATCTTTAAGAGACTATATTTTTAAAAAGCATATTTTGCAATTTAAATAATATTTTTAAATACTTTCCTCCAAATTGTTATATTATATTATTTTTATTTTTATCAACTTTCCTGTAAATTATTATATTATTTTCCTTAATTTTTTTTTTTTGTATATACTTTTTAGTTTGGTCAATATATAGAGTATTAAAAATTAAAATATTTCGAATGTATTCAATTATGAAGAGTCTATTTTAAAATGTTAATTTTAAAAGTCTCTTGGAACATAATTTTAACGTTTAACTCTTTAAAATAGGGATTATTTCATTTTTAAAGAGTCTTTTGAAGATGTTTTAAGAAGACGATAATAGTCATGATTTTTAAGGGAGTTTTGCTGGGCCCTGGATTTTAATCTTGGTTTCGACTTTTTGAGATGTATCAACACTTTTTCGATTTATTTCGTATAATAATATAAATTAATATAATAAGTAGTGGACAAATAAGAAGAAGAGACAAAAATCCTGCCCCCCTGGGACATCCAGGGCCACATGAGTGGCATCGCGTCGCTCTTTTTAAGGTGGCCTTATCATCGGATGACCTGACAACGATGTCTGTTTAATTCAGCAAAATGGGCCATCAATTTGTTTTGGCACTTTGTATTGGAACTTCCAAGTGATAAAATGTCATTTCACTCCACTTGCAATACCATCTAACCATCGACTCGATAAGTCTACCTAAAGATCATAGAGTCTGTTTGTGAGTGATTTTGAGAATTGATTTTTTGATCGTTAGGAGAAAAGTGAGATCCATTTTTGAGAGAAGAAGTCAAATATGACGGTTGAAATAGTGAAGTAACGGTCAAAAAGTCATTTTTTTTGGTAAAAAAATTGGGCCCAAACAGGCTCATAATACCATTGTAATTAGAATTAATCTAGTTGTTTACGAAGTTCATTTAAAACCTAAGTGTTGGTCACTGATTTTCATTAATTTTTTGAAATGATTGACCTAAATGCTGTCAATATATAATTTGTCAATCCTATTTGTACAAATAACACAACTCTTGTAAATAAATAAATAAATAAAAGCCTCCCACTTCTGTCGATAAAATTTTCATCAAATTGAAAATTCAAATAAGAATAAAATCGTTTTGTTAAAAATTGAAGCATGAATGTAATGAGATGTCACATTTTTGTTGTGTCATAATTCTTTTGGCTAAAGATATTATAAAATGTAAACGTACTTCACATATTGTTAACAAAAATCGACTCTTGGCAAAAAAATAAAATAATAAAAATAATCAAGATTGTTTGACCCTAATAAAATAATATTACACGTAAGTCGAAAATTTTTCCTTCTATTTTAGTCACTTATTTTTCAAAAAAAAAATTATTTCACCAATTTTTATTTCTACAAAATGGGGACCAAACGTGTGCTTTAAATAGAGGCAAAACTCAAGTTGAACACTCTCTTCTTGAATTGAGTAGTCAAAATCAATTCGCAACCTATCAATTACGCCCACGAACTCTATACAATTAATGAAAATTGTATTAAAATCAAATCAATCTCATTTAACAATTAGGTTCCGTTTGATTGCGAAAATGAAATTTGGGTGGAAAAAAATAAATTTCGGGGAATTGAATTGCTTAAAAATTGTTTTTCTAGGAATTATAAATTATTGTGTTATTTTCCACGTGAAATTCGTTGAAATAAAAGTATTTTTTAGTGTTCGTTTGACTTTGTTTTATATGAAAATTGTTAATTAAAGTGATAAATTATACTGGTATTGGGGATGAAATTAGTTTACATTGCCATCAAAAAAATCATCTATCTTTTGATGTTTGTTTGACTTTATTCTACATGGACATTATTAATTAAAGAGAAATATTTTTTTACAATAGTTTTTAGAATTTGTTTTCCTTGTCAAAAAAAAAAATTGAAAAAAAATAGACTACAGTACCGAGAATTGGAATTCTCACCAATCCAAGAAAAGAGGCGCGTGAGTGGATTGGCAAGAATTCACTTTGCCAAGAAAATTTGCGGTATCAAACAAGAAAAAAGTAGGAAATTTCATTTCCCATGGAAAAAAAAACACACAATCAAATAGGGCCTTAAAATAAGGAGACGTTATTTTCATCCACGATTCTCATATAATTATCACTCTAAATCAACTTTGTTAAAAAAAATTTAAAAACTATTATATTCATCCACATTATATTACAATATTATCCATATTAAATTCATCAATTAAAACACTATATATCCACAATACTTTATATATTTATCCCACTCTAAATATATCACCGTCTTCAACTAGAATAGAATGCATCATAACTCCGTAATAATAAATTTCCTAAACATCATTCAATAATGATCTACTAAGCATCCGTAACAGAAGAATTCCCTATTGAAACTCTCCCAAAATGCATCGATGAAATATCAATAACCCCGCGAAAAAGAAATAAAAACTCTCGAGAAATTACTAGTCGAGAAATTCCAAACAAGCAATATTATTTCTAATTTAGGCCATTCTAAACTCAATGGTAATCGTCGCAAGACTATGAAGTGTAAAATGCCCATTCGTTTTCCTACTGAGTCCAATATGCCCATTACAAGTTATTAACAAGCAATTAGTTCATTCTTATCAAATTCCCTAATAAGAACAAAAATAGTAAGGCTTAATGGCCTCTCATCCACCAATCAAACCCTAACTCCACGACCATAGATAAGGATTATCATAATTGTCATCTGTAATCCACAAAGTTCCGATTTTAATTGAAGAAGATGTTTTATGAGTATTAGGATTTTAGTTAAAAATAAAGTTTAAAATAATATAAAATGTCCAAAAGCATTTAATGAGGATAAATATTAGTGGATGAATTTAGAGTGATAGATTTTATTTGATTTTAGTTTATATATAAGAATTTTTATCCGATACGTCACATTTTTAATTACAATTAAGCTCCTCAATTTTTTATTATTGTATTACTTATTTTTTTAACTTTTTTTGATAAATTCTTATCTTCAATCTTTCATTATTTATTACGTACTGTCCTTGTTGGTGACGATTTTTATCAAATTATTTGTTTTCACGCTTTGAAATGAGGGAAAAATATTTTTTCACACTTTTTTTTTATATATTTTTTAAATACAATAAAATGTGGTACAGGAAAAAAAAAATTTGGTGTAATTATTCATATTTCCATAACAAATCACATGTACTAAATTTCTCACCAGAAAAGATAAGAATTTGGTACCACAAAAGATAAGATCAAACTTGTTCACGCCGTAGAAAAACAAGAATTTCACCTATTCATAAATTCATCTGTTGTGTTCGCTGCAATTTTTCTCCCAGCAGTTCCGTAGTTAATCTTCCAGCCATGCCATCTTCACAATCCTTATCGCACAACGATGAGTCTTTCCAAACCCTATTGGAATCGGCCCGTCCCTTCCTCAGAGGCGAGCTTGAAACTATCAACGAAAATCTGCCTGATCTAATATCCGTTTTGCGTTCCGTGGGCGCCGGAGAGTGCTGGCACAAACACGGCACCTTTCTTGATCACCTTGTCGATTTATATCGCATACTCAAGATTTGGAAGGCACCTGAATCAGTTTGTCTCTGTGGTCTTTTTCACTCAGCCTATTCGAATTCCTACGTGAATCTTGCGATTTTTGATCCTTCGACTGGCCGAGACACGGTTCGGGCTCACGTTGGTGATGCTGCTGAGCGTTTGATTCACTTGTTTTGCATTGTTCCACGCCAGTCTCTCATTCATGATGATCTTTTGTTCAAATACACTGATTCTGAGCTCATTGAACACCTTGAACTTTCTGAGATTTCTTTGAAGAATGCCAAGGAGAAGAATCTGTTTAACGATGACGAACCCTGGAGGCTAAAATTGCAGTCCCTTTTGCCTGCTCAAGGTATTTCTGTGAAACATATAAAGACTGGTGAAGATGTATTGCTTTCGAGGAGAGTTTTTGCAGTTTTTCTTATGATGACAATGGCGGATTTCAGTGATCAGCTCTTCAGTTTTCAGGACTCTTTATTCAACAACTCAGATGGTCGCTTCGAGTTTTCTGGCAATAATGTTTCGACCTTGTGGCCTGGTGATGGCAAGCCAGGATTATGGATCAACTCCATTTCAAGAATGGGTGCAATATACTCTCTAATCCTCCGGGAAGAAGAAATATTCATTGAACAAAGGAGGAAAAAACATGGTGATGAGTTGTTAAAAGATAGAGACGAAGACATTGAACTCGTGATACCTCCGGTTTTCAATTACTGCACGCGAATTTTGGATTCGAAAGACCAGATTATTGCACGAGATTTGTACTGGGAAGCCGTTTGCTATAACGTGTCGACAAAGACCGGGCTGAAGAGAGCTGAGGAGATGTTATTGAGGTCTTTAGAGAAAAACCCATTTGTTGGAGAGCCTTGTGTGGTTTTGGCTCAGATTTATTTGAGTGAAGGGAGGTTTGAGGAGGCTGAGAAAGTGGCTGAGAAGGGGGTGAGACTTTTGGTAGAATGGGGGAGTCCATGGGACAAGAGAATGTCATGGGAAGGATGGATTGCTTGGTCAAGGGTTTTATTGACGAAGGCTAAGGAGAGATCATGGCCTAACACTTCTTGGGGCATCCTCAATTTGGGTCTTGTTAGGTAAAGTTTTAGTTGATTAGCTGATTTCATATTGATGTATCCATTAACAGGGTTGATATATCTCAACTTTAGTTTGTTATTGGAATTTATATCAGCTGATTTTACTACATAGTCACTAGCGTGTTTCTTTGATAAATAATAAATGGAATAAGAACATGATTCTGATTCAAGTACATTTTCACAAAAAAATGGAGGAATTTTGATTGATTATCATTTAGTATGCCTTTCTTTCTTGATGTATGTGAGATGATGAACATATCTGCATAATAAATAAATAAAGGAAAGACGAAGAAGAAGAAGAAGAAGAAAAGAAACATTACGATAAATTAACTTTGAAGAGGGTCCATTGTTCTTTTGGGACCACTATGTTCTTGAAATCGTGTAATGGACCTTAGAAACTCCGAGATCATTCTTTACATCTAAGGCACATGGGTGGGTTGCACCATACCGACAATCCACAAATACCAATTTCCTATAGAAACATAGAAAGCTTCCGTCGACGAAATATTTGTTCGATCTAAAATTGCAACAAGTGTATGGCTCGTAACAAGTAATAAAGTGGATTTTTGTGTCCAAATATCATGTCCACGGAGATGTACTAGTTCAAATTTAAATTAACTTAACCTTAATCGAAACAATTGAAATTCGTGATTTTTCCTATAAATTAGATAATCTAATTATGGATGCAAGACCTAATTCAAATAAGTTAAAATGCAAAGTTATAATTAAATGCAAGTTTTATAAAAATATAATAATGAAAAGCATACTAGTATCACGATTCAATTATGAAGATCAGTATTCCTAAATTATTTAACCATCTCTTTCGATTAGAATTAAATCTATTTTTAAATGTAACCTGACTATATATCTATGACGGATACGAACATATAAAAATGCATTAATGAATTTGTAAATATTTAAAGATCACGTGAAGCAGACCGATTTTTTTTTTTTATCCTCTATTGGACTCTACAACAATTGACACTATGTCAAGTTATTTTCAATCTTTTGAAAGTAAAACAAGTCAAAAACTCGTACAATTATTGAGCATATAATTATAGAGAAAATAAATTCATGTCATTCTTTCAAAAATTAAAAATGTGTTTTACTCGTCAGAAAGAAATAAAATTCAAAAGTTAAAAGTTTACGATACAAAGTTCATCGTAATCCTAGCACAAAATAATTTCATCTAATGTAATGTTAAAATTAAACAAATAAAAGTGGGACGTCATTACTAAAATCTGCAAAACGCGATTAGTTCCACAATTTTGGGTTGCCGCCGTCTATCTTCACCGCCACCTCTTTTCAGCCGGCTTCTGCGTGTGTCCATATTAATGTTTTTCTCCAGTAGCCACCCAATTTCTGCGTGTATATATAGCCCCGTTTGAATTTCATTTTTTTCTATCAATACTTATTTTCAACTATACGTTTTTTAATAAAATAATGTTACGCGCAAATCAATTTTTTTTTTTTAATTATATACTTCACATCAATTTACTATTCTATAGTACATTACAACAAATTAACGGCCTCAAACAGGGCCATAATCAATTCAGCCCAGCCGCGGTTTCCCACGGCCGCCACCCTTTCTAATGAGAACTCCATTTCAGCCCTCAGTTCTCTGCACCTCACCAATAGCAGCCAAGTTTTCGTGGAAAAATAAGTCTAACCCAAGTTAGCTTGCATTCCATTTCAATTATTCAATTTTCCAACATGCAAAGTCCAATTATTTTCTTTCCAAAAGCAAGTCTATTGAGGCCTATTTAAATCCAACCCAATATCGACATGTTTCAGTCACCACTGGGACTTACTTTATTCCAATTGCAAGTCCCAGTGACAAGGTCCATTAATGTGGTGTTTGTGACTTGTCCCAAAAACTTCGCTTTTCCAATTAATTTGAAACAAGTACAATACTAAAACACGAAAACAATTGAAACAAGTACAATACTAAAACACGAAAACAAATGAGTACAACACTAAAACAAACGAGAATTAACCCAAGTTAATTAGAAATTAATAATTTAAGGATATAAAGGTTTAGTAATATGGCTCGGATAAGTACACAAGACGCATTTATCAACTTCTAGTGGGGTTTATATTTGTCCATGAAGTCTTTTCGTAAGCTACTGTTCGACAAATGGGAATCCATTTTGTCTCTGATAAATAAGAAAGAAGGCTGGTGACAAACAAAGATGGATAGTGATTATGGAATTAGCACAAATCGGGTTGGATAGTCGGCTAGCATTTTTTTCCCTTCTAAAATGTTTCCTATGAGAAACGACACACCTTTTAACACATAAACTAGATGAAATCCATTTGAAAGGATGATTTTCACACCAAAATTATAGGTTGAGGGTGGCGGTGCCAAGAATAAAGAGCCGAGAGTAGTATCTTCTCAAAAGTACACTGCCTACGATCTATTCGAAATAAACACACGTCTATTTCTGTCAATTGTAAGCAACGACAACATTGTCAAAATTAGATCACTTCTCTGGGCATTTCTTTTAATTATCATTGATATTAAGCTCCTGTTTGCCTATCATTGAACTTTTTAAAAAAAACTTATTTGTACCACATATTCACATGATAAAAATACGTTACATGTAAATCTATTTTTTTTTTTTTTTTAAATTTTAACCACACATTCTAAAAAAAATTACTATTCCAAAAACTAATTTTCCTACTTTAGTGATAGACAAACAGGAACTAATGACAAGTCATTTCAAAATATGGAACCCACAAGGAACAAGTAAAATGTATTCATTTTATATATTTTGTTTTATTGCTTTATTTCAAAATGGGGCTCATTCAAAATGTTTAGTCATGCCTCTCATTCTTGGCTCAACCTCTACTTGTCAAGAATCGGTAATGAGATGCGATTCGAGGAATGTCTTTATTATTTATAACCTAGATTTATCTTCTTTCAATTTGATTGACTTTTCATATTGTTTTAATTAAAAATAAAAATTCACTTTTTTATTGTTCATATCATAGATCGATTGGCTAGAATTTCAATTACGAATTCATCAAAATTTATTGAAGAATTCTATTGAACATTTGAATTGTCACTCTAGAAAGTAAATTGATCCATTTAAAATAAAATAAAGTTGGATCACTAACATAAAATTCAAGGCATTGGTAACCACCATCATTTTTGACTCACAATATTTTTTATTTTTCTTTTTTAAATCATATAAATAGTAGTGACAAAATGCTACACACAATGACACAAAGCATGTCATCCTCTTCAGCCCAAACTAGTGAATAATGTTGAGTGGTATATCACAGCACCTGCGACATTACCACTGTAATCCTCAGCAATTTGAGGTTTAAACCAAACCATTTTGGGTTTTTTGCCTCTCTCTTCTGCCCTTTCCTCCAAAAAAAATAATTCAAATTAAGATTCTTCAACATCAATGCTTCAACTACCAGTAGTAACGATGAATTTTCCAGCGTCTCTTTTGTTAATAATGACAATTGCGTTACGAATACAGCTCCGAGTTCCCTCCTCTCCGACGTTTTGAGGTATTCTTCTCTATTAGTTTGTTTGTTTTCATTTTTTTTATGTGTTTGGTTTTAATTTCTGCTAATTGGATTCTTGTTTACAGCTTTCATAATTGGGATTGGAATGTAGCATCATAAAGACTATACCTTTTGTGTTTGATACGTTTAGGGAAAAAAATAAAAAATAAAGAAGAAAATTCACTGAATTGAACTTTAGGGACTAAATTAGCTCTTGCATGCTAGTTATCTTAGGTTGATTTGGTGTTCAAATCCGTGGAAATTTAAGTTTAAGCAGTATGTTGAACAGTTTTATTTTCAGACAGTTTCAACAGTCCATGTATGTCTGTATGTGTGTGTTATGTTATCCTTTTTAACATTTTGGTTCATAACATTGAAATGAGAGCCAAGTTGCGATATATATTAGTATTACCTTATTTTGTGCTTTTATGTGGTTTTTTTTCACTTTATGTATAGCCCAACTGAAGACTGTCAGGAGCCTCCACCTGGGAGATTATTCACAATATCAGGTTTAGTGTTTGAAGTTTGAACCCATTTACCTATGTCTTTTGTTTTTCCTCTTGATGTTGTATAACTCAGTACATATGTTTGTAAATCCAGTTATATGTTTGTTTCTGCCTTTACTCTCTTCAAAGAAATTTTCAGAAATAGAAGAGGAACGAGGGACACAATGAACTGATTGATGTTTATTTCCTTCGACTAGTGATTTGGTACTGTTTTTTCGGGTTGTCAAACTACTAAGTTTTTATGGTCATTTTTCTTTTGCAGTTATCGTAAATATATAATTATTTGTTTCTCTGCCACATTCTCTTTCTTACTTGTGTTCATGTTTTCTCTTTCAACTTGTTTTTGGGATGTGTGTGAGGAAGAGGGGAGAGGGATGGGGATGGGGTTGTTTGTTTTTCAACATCAATAGAGGACATTAGTGGTGTGGGTCACATGCACAATCAAATGTGTATATTGAAAAGAACAATTTAAAATCTTCTTTTTTGGTTTTTAATTTCTTCAATGAAGAACTTGTTGGATGTAATATCTAAAATAACTATATTTCAGTGTACTCTTAGGAACAATTGCAGCCATGATGGAAGTGATAACTGATAAAAATTGAGGAAATAATAATTGGCTGCACTAGAGAACAAACGTCCATAATCAAAACTATTGGTGGACTTGTTACTTGATTATTGATAGCAGCTTACAATTTTTTTGCAATTTTGTTAACTCTAATTATGAAGTACGAATGATTCTTATTTATATTACAATCTGTTCTCTTTTCTCGCCTTTGCGAATCTGGTTTCTGCTGTTTCTTTAGAAAAATAAAAATTGTGTTTTGCACCTGCCCACTTGCTAAATTGTGTTGCTTTGCAGAAGTTTGATATAGTATTACTGGTGTTATACATCTCATCTAAAAGGTTGATCTATAAAGAAGAGCCACATGTTTATTATTTAAATTTTGTCCTCAACATGTTTCCTCTCATACTTGTAGGCAAGATTCATATTTTCCTTCAAAGTCTCACACGTTCACAATTTCATTGAATGTATGGCAGAAAAACTTAAACCTAGAACCATTGCATGCTATGATACCATGTTAACAATGTCATGTATAAGCTTAAGCTATTAGAGATGGTCACTTGTATATCATTTAAATCTTGTCTTCAACAACTAGCAAGTGAACTGTGGCTTCTTCTGTACTTTTGTTGTTTGAGAGAAAAATAGAAAAACAGTTTGCTTCCTCATTTACGTGATTGGTTTGTTGGTTAAATTGATTCTTGGTTGTACATTGAATATGGATGCGATAACATTTCTATTGTTAAGAAATATTATATATTAAAAGCTGCTGGTATGCTGTTGCATCAGCCGATTTGATTATTAGATCTTTTGACCTGGATTTGGCCTTTTGTTTTGAATTATTTCATAAATTTGTAATCTTTCTTAAATTTCTTAATTTGAGCTGGAAGAGAGTCTCAACCTCTTGATAAACCTGATGTTCATCAAGCCTGTGAATGAAATGTGAACTTCGCATGCTACTTGACTGTATAATTGGAAGAACTTTTATTTTTGTTATATCATTATTTCCACAATTTAGTATTGTAATTCATTTAATGCATTAAAAATATAATTTATTTATCATTCTTAATATATGTCTTGGATTTTTTCATCATGTGAGGGTGATTCCTGATAATTCGTCGAAAAATGTGATTGAAAGTTCGTTGCTTTCGCAGTTTGGGACAAATATTTCTCGTAAATTGCTGCAAATATGTCATGATCCTGTAATTCACCTTCATCTTTTGAATTATTTTTGTTTAGTTTCTCTTGGAAGTTATGTAAACCATTTGTTTTTAAATGACTTGCTTAGTTGACTATCTGGATGAATAATTTCTTGATTCCTCATTATAATAGGAGGGATAATAGCTTTGGGAAAGTTCGATGCCCTTCACATTGATCATCGGGAACTTGCAATCCAAGCAGCAAAAATTGGAGTTCTATTTCTTTTTAGCTTTTGTTGGAATGACAGAGATACTGGGGTGGGAATCTAGGTACGGAATGCCCCTTTCTATCTCTTTGCTGCATTGCCAGGGATGGTTCCTACATGGGATTAGATTGTAAATTTGTAATCAAGGCTGATTGCTAAACTAGAAAAGAGTAAAACGAAGAGAGAATAGTAACTTCAGAAGAAGATCAACATTCCACCCACATTAAAAACCTAGTGCCCTCCTAGATTAGGTGTTGGTAATATGTGCAAGAAGCAACTATGTAGGCTCGTTGGTGGAATAGGAAACACTTGGTTTCGAGAAAACCAGCATCGACACTCTTAAAAGGTTACGAGTTCAATGCACATCAACAATTTTGAACACTCTAACAGTTCTATCACTCCATTACTGAGTTCAAATGTTAAAAAAAAAAAAATGTAATTTAATTGTTAAACATGTGTTACACACACTGCAAAATATATTGGACATTTTTATGACTGTCCATCGTATTGTATAGAATGGGAGTCAAATATGAATAAATATTGTCTTCATGTGTAAAATAGAAGTTAGGAACTACATAAAGAATAATGAAAGATGAGATGAACTTCGTCTGGATCTTAACATTTGCTCTAGTAACAAATACTACATGTATTTCATGTACATGAGATTAAGATGAGATGCTCTCTTGACCTCTCTTCAGTCTTTCATAAGATACAGGACCGGTTGCAGATATGGTCATGATCTAGTTAAGAAGCATTGATGAATGTGCAAAATGTTCATAATCTGCTAAATTCGCAAGTATTTTCTAAATTGAGATGATTGAATGGTTTGTGTAGCTACTTTATGTGAGTGACGAAATGAATCTTTGTCTACTAGATTAAACACACTCTGCTTAACTACCAAACAATAAGACTACTTGGAAAGGACCCTTTTGCATTTGGGGTGTCATCTGTATGAGTAAGTATTGGCATGACACTTACAATTGAATAAAGGACAAAGTTAACAGTTAGCTATGAACAGTCACAGATGTATTATTGAACAATTTATTTGTTCTACTTGCATGAGCTATGAAACTTTCCATTGTATGTGTACATATTCTTATTCTATTTGGTNAAAAACAAGGAAAAGATTAGTAGCGATAGAAAGAGGTTGTCAGCACCTAGGTCTTGTTTATTGAATCTTTCGCCAAAAGAAGGAATTTATGGCAACTGTTCTCTTATTTTTGGTGACGAGAATGTGATACCATGCAGAACCATAAGTGATCAATACAAAAGATATTCAATATGCGCACAAACTGAATATCGGGATAGTGTATGAACATGTGCAGCTCTACAGTAGGGCAGTGGGGTTCGTTTTCCACGCATTGAATTTGAAATCCAAGAATTTTTTCAATATTTTCATGATTTTACAAAAGATTTTCAAAAAAATTCCTTATAATTTTCAATTTTGCCCCCACAATTATAATTTTGTGAAATTTGCCACCACAACTCCGTTCTCGTGGCTCTGTCCCTATGTATTAACAACTAAATAGCTAGAGCATAATAAACCCAAGATGATAGCAATAATAAAATTAATTCAAACAACTTTAGGTCTGGCCAAAGCCGACTAGGCTCCCCTTTCACGACAACTTCTGGTCTCGCCTCTCACTTGGTCACGAATACATACGCTACTCCGCATATTCCATCACTTAACATTGTCCTTTTACGAGCTTTTTCAAGAGTTTATATATCATTATATAGAAGAACATACTACAAGAGTTTCTTCTTTTTGTGATACACATTTGGGTACCAAAATGAGCCTGCCTTTTGTCTTTCTTTGTAGGAGGGAAACCACCAGCAGATAGGGTCCTATACATAGTTCCGTGTGAAGAGGGTTTGAGTTAAGTTAGATGAGCAAGTGAACAACATGCTATACCTGCCCAAATGGTGGCTCCAAATTAGGATGGCAAAAAACTCGAGATGACTTGAGGCCAGAGGGGCGCAATCGACAGGGCGGAATAGAAGATAATATTTGCAGGGATAAATTACATTAAGTTTTAATTGTGGGGGCAAAAATTAAAAACTTCAAGGACCTTTTTAAAAATCTTGCAAAAAAATTGGCAAAATATTGAATTTTCATCTTTATAGTGGGGGGTAGGTGACCTCTCTACTCCCACTCTAAAATCCATCCCTGGCAATCGGAGAGCTAGACGTGTTCGGGTACGAATTAGTGCATGTTTGACACATTTTAATTTATTTCATGATGTATTATAGGATAATTTTCAACTACAAATTTACACAGTAAAAAATGGTCTCAGCATGGGCAAACCATGCGACCGCATGGGTTGTTACCATGTGGTCGCATGGTGTATTTATTTTGCCGTTGAATACCGTTTTCTCCCGTTGTAAATTCAAAATTGGTGACTTTTGGCTTAAAGTTTGGTACCATTTCATGAATGTGGTGTATGCCTATATATATTAAATCCATGTTGAAGACAAATACATTACAAAAAACCATCAAGGTTCCATATTACTTCCAAAATCAAAGAACAAAGTCTTTAAAAGGCATATTCTTATTCATCCTTTGTGTTCATCAAGTTTTTTAGGATTTGCACTTGCGGTTTGGTGTTTAAATCTTTGCAATGCTTGTTATAATCTTGCAAATCATTTACCAACAACTTTCGAAGCATCTCAAATTCATAGGAGAAGGGGCAAATATCGTTTGAGGACAACGATATCGTGTTCAAGCCATTCATTGATACGAGTTCGAGATTATATTATTTTTAGCGTTTTCGGTTCATATTTTGTGATCTCTATTCTATTCCGGTGAATGTTCTCTAACAGTCTCAAACGATACTTCTACAATGGAAAGCGATGGCGATAATCAAACTCATGAATCAAGACTTAGTGCAGTTAGATCGGTTCGATGGAACAAATTACATTCGATGGAAAGACAAATTGAAGTTTCTTTTCACTGCACTAAAGATCTTCTACATTCTAGATTCGGAATTGGCGCCACGACCGGAACCAACAAATGGAGAAACCGAAACAGTGAGTAATAAAAGACAAAAGCGCCATGAAGATGAGTTAATATGCCGCGGTCACATCTTCAACGCATTGTTGGATCGTTTGTATGACTTATATACAAACATAACTTCAGTAAAGGAAATTTGGGATGCGCTCGAAAATAAGTACAAAGCGGAAGAAAAAAGTACAAATTTTTTTTAATTTCTAAGTACTTTGATTTTAAATTTTTAGAGAATAATCCCCTTCTTCCCCCAAATACATGAAATGCAAGTAATTGTCAATAAGTTGAAAACGGTGAAAATTGAAATACCAGAGACCTTTCAAATGGGGGCTATAATTGTCAAACTTTCTAGAACTTGAAAATGATATCGGAAGAAGATAATGTATAGTTCCAAAGATTATTCTTTGGAACAACTGCAAAAATATTTTTGGATTGAGGAAGAGTCGAGAATATGTGATAAAAGTGATTCTCATGATGACACTTCCAAAGTAAATGCTGTAGAGAATTTCGAACTGCCAACAAAATCCAACAAAATAAAGCCTTCAAGGAACCTTAATAAGTTCAAGAAGAAGACCAAAGGAGGATGCTTTGTTTGTAGGAAATCTGGACACTACGCAAAAGATTGTAGACACCGAAAATACAACAACTCTGAGGGTAAAGTGAATTCCATCCAACAAGACAAGATTGTGGCCACCGTGAGCAAAATAAATGCAATTAAGGGAAATGTTCTTGGCTGGTGGTATGATACTTGTGCCACGGTGCATGTATCATATGACAAATCTTTGTTCAAAACATACAATGAAGTGAATGGAGACCAAGAGGTCCAAATGGGTAATGAGGTGCAGTCCAAAGTAATTGGAAAATGAAGTGTAGAAATTATCTTCACTTCTGGAAAAAAATGTTACTCTCACAAATGTACTACATGTTCCGGATATGAATATGAACTTAGTGAGTGTAAATCTTTTGGAAAAATCGGGCATTAAAAGTGCATTTGAGCATGGAAAACTTGTATTGTCACTTAACGAGAAATTTGTTGGAAATGACTATTCATGTGAAGAATTGTCAAACTTTGTACTATAACTTGTAAATTTTCTCTAACAATAACTTGTAAATTAGATGTACATTCTTCCCAACCTCAGAATGAAAATTCTTGACGAGTTGGGGCATAAAATGGCTGCTTCGCCTTAAACTTGCCCAAAAGAGCATCCCAATGGTAACGTAAAATTGGGTGTAAATTGATATTTTTAAAATTACTTTTGCATCCTTATATACATTCGGGTAGATCTAAATTCATTCTTTTGCCTCTTGTGGATGTTAAAAAACAAGATGTAAATTTACATTTTTTTTTACCAAAAATACAATTTACATATCTTCATTAGAGAAGTTTTCGACAACTTTAAAGGTCCAAAATTTCTATTTTTACACCACCATCGCATGTGCTCTGAGTGAGAAAAAAAAATTAAAAAAAAAAAAGGGAAAAGAAAACTGTCGGGGGCTAGAGGTCCAGGATTTAGTCCGACTAAGCTGGGACACCTGGGTTATCAAAAAAAAAAAAAAAAAAAAAAAAAAAACTTCATTTGTCTTATAGTGGATTGCTAGTAACGTTAACTTGACTTTTATTTAAAAATAGATAGTCATCATGTTTATTTTTATTATTTTAATTTTAATTCCAAATTCCAATTAATATTGAACTTGATGATATCAAATTGATTCGTGTCTGTTACATAAAAAAATTTCATCTAGCTTCACAGGACAATTCCAAGTGAACAATACTCTGTATGGAAAAAAAAAAAAGTTCGAGAAATTTTTTCCATTTCTTTCCCCAGTAGGATCGATGACCTTCGATTTAAGCTTTTATTCATTTGGTACATACTTTCAAGTTGGCAGACAAGGTGTAGCACAATCTCGTAAGCAAACCACAACAAACAATTAATCGAGATTTCTAGAAATATCGTGACCAGGAACAACAAACATAAAATGGAGATACCAAATTTTGAATTTAGCTAATGTAATTGGGAAATTTAGAGTTTAAAAATATTTGTGTGGACAAGCAAAAAGTTGAATGGAATGGAGATCCATACTGCAATCCAACCCCATCCCATCCAAGTTGGAATTATGTCCGAATATTCGCAATTATATTCCTCAAAGGAATTTCGTGTACTCCACCTCCAATTTGCTGGAATCCTTGTCACGTGCTCTAAAATAAAACATCTCTTAGAAAAATATTCGACTACTGAACATATTATGCCCTTGTTTGATTTTCATTACATTACATTACATTACATTCTATTTTTCTCTCTCCTATTTTCAACCACACAATCTTCCATAAAATAATATTACACGTAAATTGAAAATTTTTCTTTCTTTTTCAACCACTCATTTTTCAAAAAACACTATTCTATACATTAAATTTTCCCCGTAATGGGGGCCAAACAGGGGCATAATCTTTTATTTGTTTCGATTTGATAACTGACCTTCAGTTGACTTTCAATTTTAGTCGTATCATAGTCATGTTACCAAAATTCATCCACTCGAGCACACTCTGAGCTTTAGAATCATTCTCAATTTCAACTTATTTTTATTTATTTATAATTTTAAACTTTTATAAATACTTTTCAAACATGGCTTAACATGCATTAAAATAAAATAGATTCGGACATGTTTGGTGAGATTTTTGAAAAGTTAAAAGTTGTTTATGATACGACTCATTTGACATGACTTTTACTTTTTATAGAGTAGCTTTTGGAGGAACTGCCTTTATTTTTATTAGTCAAATTTGAACGTGTATTGTATGTTATTCTAAAATACTTTATAAGTGTTATAAAAGTAATATTTGATATTATTTTATTGGGAGGATTTAATGTGTTTCAAATGAATTAAAGAGAATAAGATTTATGATAGAAATTTAAAAGAAGAAAATTTTACTCTCAAAACTCAACTTCTATTATTTAAATTTTTTGTGATGATAAAACACTATAAATGAGCAATTTTTTATACTACATTTGGTACATAATAATTAATTGTTAATACGTGAATTTAAACATCTATTAAAATTTCTAGATACGTGAAGAGAACTAAATTTATCTATAATAACTCTAGATTCATGTAAATCAAATTAATATGAATATTAATTAATTGAGATTTAAGAACACAAAATTAATAGATGATTTTGTAGTATTTATTGTATATTAAAAATGAATAGAGATATTATTGAAATAATTGAATTGTAGTAAAATTAAAATCGTTCAAAAAATGATTTTCACTTGATGTGACATTTAATGTATGGATTATAGATTTGAAAACTAAAAATTTCCTATTATGCTCTTAGAGGAAGTCTTATTGAATTAGTTTTCTCTACAGATAGAAGAAGCATTTTCATAGAAATAATCAAATTGGTCAAAATGCAGCTTTTGGATTTCAAACGTTCCTTTTAGGCCATCTCCAACCCAACACCAAATTTTGCACCATTTTGCACCAAATTTTGCACCAAATCTTGCACCAAACTAAAATTCATCTCCAACCATTACACCAAAAATTACACCAAATGAACAGTATTTAACCATTTTCTTCCCTTTTTTTATTCTTTATAATCTACTTATTTGAAATATTATTTATTTAATTATTTCAGAAATACATAAATTACTAAATAAATAATCAATTAATCGTGTTTGATGTATTTTAAATTATTTTCGTCTTTTAATTAATTAATTAATTATTATGTCTTACATTTAACATTTATTTTAAACACAAATAATTATTAATATTAATAAAAATAATAATAATTTATTGTATTAAAATATATATAGCACAAATTACATAAATACCCTCAACAAATTTATTTGGGAAATGTAAAATAAGGACAAAATTGGCATTTTACACTTGCACCATTTTGGTGCAAAATTGTGCAAAATTTGGTGTTGGGTTGGAGTAATTTTGCACCAAAAAATGGTGCAAAATGGTGCAATGGTGTTGTGGTTGGAGATGGCCTTAACTTTTTAAATGTCTTGTCAAATGAACCCTTAGTACGTTTGATTGAAAATACTTTCCATAGAAAATGTCAATTTTCACCCAAATTTCTATTTTTGTGTTTTTAATTGATATTTTTTTGATGAAAAATATTTTTCGATTTTTGGTCAAGGATAATATTTTCTTTAAAGGGAGTGTATTTTCATTTTTCAGAATATTCACTCCCCCTGTATTATCTACACCCTCTCCCTCTCTCTCTACCTTAATAAAAAAATGAACAATTATAATATTTTTTAGGTTAAAAATAAAATTAATCAAATATATTTAATTAACAATTTTTATGAAAATACTTTATAGGCAATTTAATTCTCGAAAATGTATTTTCTTCCCATTTAAATTTTGTGTTCGCAATCAAATGCATCCTCATATAATTTTCTGAAAGTACTCTGTATAATATATCTTCATCAAAAAACTCGATAAATCCCTTCAACAAAAAGTATAAGCCCCTGTTTGGCCCTCATTTTTCGGTAATGCAAATGGGAGGAATAATATTTTTTTGAAAAATGAGAGGTTGAAAAAAAAAAGGAAAATTTTTCGATTTACGTGTAATATTATTTTATAAAAGATTGTGTCGTTGAAAATAGAAGAGCGAAAAATAAAATGTAATTTAATGTGGTCAAATGGAGGCTAAATAGAAATAGAAATTCTACCTAACGAATCCTCGATAAGTTGCCGAAAAAGAACGCAAGAATCGAGGATGCCACCAAGCGATATGCCTGTGAAAACAATATATGCGAACGTGTAAATTTAGAGACGGAGAGAGAGAGATTCAAAGGCGTCCATTCTTTTTCCCGTAAACGAGGACTTTTATAGAACAAGAGATTGAACAATATTTTACTCATTCATTGGATTCTTTTGTGGAGAATACCACTTGTTCTTCAATTGTTTCTTCTCTCTGTGAGGTCAGTTCATCTCTCTTCGACAGACACGCAATCTATGTTTTAATAAATTAATTTTCATTTTTATTTCTGGCTTTTCTTCCGGTTTGCCTCCTATCCCTCAAGAATTTCGAGGTCTGGTGATGTCAATTCTGAATTTGTTTACTTCTATTAGACTAGATTATAATTTATTTGAAGGGAAATTTGATTTGAATTGTTAATTCTTTTTATGTTTTATTCTTCTACTCTTATTTCATAAATTCAAAGTCATGTTAGCAAATTATTTAATTTCGTTCAGGATTGGTAAAATTTTAACCAAAAAGCTAAAATTTGAAAACAACTCCTTTCTGCAAAATTAGGTGGAAATAGGGGATAATAATGTCCTTTCATACGTTGAATCCAACAATTTTGGAAGTAAATATCACATCATACTCGTCTTATTATTTATTAATATGTGGGACTGTTGGTTTGGGGTAATTTTAATCCTCACACGGAAAATTGCTTATAAACTATAAATGATTGTGATGGATTAAGAAACGATCATGATTCACGTGTTGTATCCCTATTGGCTCAGGCATCAACATTCCATCACTTTTTAAATTTTTTTTGTTTTTTTAACATGTTTTTTGGCCAACCATTTGATTTCTCCTGGTCGGATAATCGTCTAATTACAGGACGCGCTGTAAAGGGATTTTTTTTGGTTTGCTGCTGGGATCAGGCTGTCAATTTTTTGGACAGCCTGATTTTGAGGTCTTCAACACAAAACGTTTACCCATAAATCGGTAGGTAGCACGTCAAAATTTTGTTTTTTTTTTCCAACTGGGCATGTTTTTGTTGTCGAATTCATGCGTTTAATGTTTTAATCCTTCACTTTTGTAGGTGGATGCAAAATTTTGTTTCTAGGTTTTGTGGGTAGACGATAATTCTTCGACACATTCTTGGCCATCCTGTTTTTCATCATGGCTTCCTTGTCTGGAATATTTCAGAGGCCGGTAATTGCAGCCTCTGCAGTTGCAATAGCCTCTATTTCTGCTGACTTTCACGATAAACTGCGGCCTTCCAGTTCATCAGAGACCTGTAATTCCTTGCAACAATCCTATCCTTCTGTCTGTGAGTCATTACAAGAAACAAGTTCGTCTTGGGTGTCCCAGATATCTGTTTCCAAGTTAATGGATTTGTCTTTTATCACTAAAATTCGCACGCCTGTGCCTAATGTAAGAATATCATTTCCTAACACTGGACCTAATTGTTGTTCTATGGTGTCTTCTCCTGTTTTCCTCAATTTGTATCAGTCTGCTGAGTTAGCAAAAACTGCCAAACCATTGTCCTTTTCATACACTCTTCCTCCATTGTCATCGGATGTTTCATATAGATGGCATTTGCCAGAGCCAAACTCCATCGATGTGTCTGGGGTTTCTGATTGTTCATCGGCAAAATCTAGGACGGTTGTGGTTTTGCTTGGATGGTTAGGAGCGAAGCAGAAGCATCTCAAGAGATATGCAGAATGGTATACCACAAGAGGGTTTCATGCCATTACATTTACTTTCCCGATGAATGAGATACTCAGTTATCAGGTTGGGGGGAAAGCTGAGCAAGATATAGAATTGCTTGTGAACCATCTTGCTGAATGGCTGGAAGAAGAGCACGGAAAGAATTTGGTTTTTCACACATTTAGCAACACAGGATGGCTAGCGTAAGTTTTTGTGCTTCTTACTTAACCCTGTCACTCGGCCCACTGAAAACTGGGTATAAATTCTACCTCAATCGCAAAAAATAAAGAAAAATGACATAAAAGGATGAGATTTTCATGGATTTGCTCGCCAATATGTTTGAGAAGTCTCTTGTTTATGTTTACAGTTATGGAGTCATCTTGGAAAAGTTTCAGAACAAGGATATCACACTAGCGGGAAGGATTAAGGGCTGTATCGTGGATTCTGCTCCTGTGGCAGCCCCTGATCCACAGGTAATATTTTATTGTAGAATTGTTGTGCACAAGGTGCCACGGCAACATGGTTGCTGGAAAGACATTGTACGTTGAAATGTAACTTTACACAAAACAAGAGATCTGGTACCTAGTTTTCAGAGCTAGTCACCATTTACATTAAGCCACATTGAGTTATTTCTTGCATTTCACTTGTGTTGAAGCTCACTTGTTTTTTGTTTTTTTCATGTTCAATTAAGATAGTGCAAAATCTACATATCCATTCTAATATGTCCAATGTAATTGTGATTTCTTTCACATTATATCATTTTTTTTCCACGTGATTCAATTAAATTTTTCTGTTTATCTGCATCTTTGAAAGGATTTGAGCCCTTGTGGTTTAACTTCATACATAACTCTTGATAGAGCATAGTGAAAGAAGAGAATTAATGTAAACCTATTGAGGCTTTGTCGTTGCGTATTACCTTTCTCTAGATTCTTCCTTCAATTATGAGAAACAAAACTAAGAACTAGAAGTTTTGTTACGCAGCGGGGAAAAGGAGATTTTAGCTTCTTGTCAAGGCCGTGAATCCACGCACAAATGTTAATTTAGCATCCTAAGTTTTCTTGTCTTGTGTTACTTTCATGGTTCATTTTTCTATGTGATTTTTGTCCAGTCTTATTGATGCAAACAAGTAATATGTGCTTCTAGGTCTGGGCTTCTGGATTTTCTGCTGCTTTTTTGAAGAAGCATAGTGTTGCAACTAAAGGTTTCACAAGCTTAAGTGAAGCAAAAGCAGAGGCGACTGATGGAAGTAGAAATGTTGTCGAAGCCAAGCCTGCATTAACTGAAGCAGCTCTTCTACTTGTGCTAGAGAAGTTCTTCGGGTTGGTTTTGAATTATCCTTCAATAAATAGGTAAAGAGGCTTTCCTTAACAAACTAAAATTTTTGTGCTATTATCCCGACCTTGATTAGCAGTTATGCTCACAAAGTTGTTCATATATGGTATCTACAGCAGTTGTATTGTCACGCTTTTCATTTTCTTTAATTTTCAACCACCTTCTCCATTGCATTTAATAGGCCAATATGACTTTTGCACAACTGCAATTAAATTGTCTGAATCAGCAACAAATAGATTTTACATTATTTATGTTCAGCAATCCTTTTTACCTTGACATTTTGTTAATAATAGTTCTCGTATTACAGGAGGCTTTCTGATGTGTTGAGTGTACTGACACTCCAGCAACCAAGCTGTCCACAGCTATACATTTATAGCTCTGCCGACAAAGTTATTCCTGCGGGGTCTGTCGAGTCCTTCATAGAGAAGCAGCGGAGGAGTGGACGTGAGGTCAGAGCTTGTAACTTCATTTCGACTCCCCATGTCGATCATTTCCGGAATGACCCTAAATTGTATTCTTCGCAACTCACCAATTTTTTGGAGGATTGTGTGCTCACTTGTTGCTAACATTCTTCCTTAATAGCATACTAATTTTTTAATACATTTCATGACCTAAATAATCCCATACACATAGGTAAATAGATGTGGCTTTAAAAGCTTCTGTCCTTTATTCTTTTGGGGTGTAAGATTGTCCCTGTACCATTTAACACTGTACATGTTTCTTAATATTATTTCCATATCAAAATGCACTTGCTTATATTGATTTAATGAGAGTAGCTGTCTTGCTTGTTGCAGAAAGTGCGTGTACTTGAAGTAATTTGCTATTATGCTAAATGTCAATTGATTAACACAAGTTGGCTTATATATTTTTACCTTGCTGGGATTACTGATTGTAGGCATTAGAAAGTGTCAAATATTAAATGCAAATTTTTGATTAATACACGACCAAAATTTGATTTTACATTTTTATTTCTCCTGCGTATAAATCTCTTGTGTAAACATACTGCTTCAATATTCGTGTTGGAGTCTAGTGATGAAGACACAGGTTCTGTTTGCTGGTTTATGTGTGATGTGTAGATGTGGGAGCGTGTAATCGGGAAGTAAGAAGGGAGATTTTTCTATTTGGCCTAAAACTATTCCTTTTCGTGGAAAAGTTTATATAGCCCTTAATGAAATGATTTTTTCTATATTGCAACATAATATCCTAATCTTT